ACAGTATAAAACACACTATGCCTACTAAGAGACCTTGTAAACTATATACAAGCATGTGTGTTTGTGTTTATTTATACTATAGTACTTTAGGTACATTTCAATTTAATTTACTTTTTTAAAATTCAAAAGAAAAAAAGATAATTATTTAAAACTTTAAATGAAAAAATGTGTTTGTTCTTGGCTACAAACAGCAACAATGTTTCTAAATTAAGACTCTTTGACATGGGAGAGTGATGGAATCTCAATGAGTCAAAGTCCACTTTGCATATATAGAGACAGAATCCAAAAACAACACTGAGCAGCTGTAAGTGTCATTTCAGACATGCGGCTCTGGGATTTACACTTGAGGCGGGTCTGATGGGGGAGTACTGGACCAGAGATTCCAGCCATTCCCCCCGGCTTTCGGGCAGCTTCTGAAAGCTCGACTCCCTCTGAACCCTTTTCCAGCCGGCCGACCAGCGGGGTCTGCCTGTTGTGGTTTGTCTGTCACCATTGAGTTTGACTGTCCGCCTGCATCCAGACTGAAATCTGTTCGTTCAGTTCACTCACACTTGAGAGTTTCAGCGGAAGTCCAAGTGCTGGCAGATGAAGAGGCAGATGGTGTTTCCACAAGTGCTGATTATTAGATAACGCTGAAATGACACTGAATTTTTAATAAAAGCGACTTGAGAAATTCTTACAAGTGATTGACACGACTGCTAGATGTTAACACTTCATAAAACTCGACCAACTTTGATTGCTGTCGAGGTTTATGGAAACACATCTGCCTTATTTAACTCGGAAATTAAATTTACGACAAAAGGCACCAAAACACCAGTGTTAATTTCTCTAGAAATAAATATGTTTGTCATCTTCCGCCGCCTAGAGGTTGTGTGAAGAATTGCACACATTCGCTTTTTATCTTCGTATTGAACTTTTCAAATCCCTTAATCCTAAAAAAAAATAATAATAATACGTCTATACCGTCTGTTGTTTTTACTGGAACAATATTTTTAATAATGTCAGCTGGACTGTCAATATCTCAAATATTTTTATTACAAATAAGGCTAAAGAAATATCATTTAAATGACTTCATAGAGTTTATCTTACAAAAATATTAAAACAAAAATTGTCAAATTGATATTGAGTTAGATGTTGTTTTTGTAAAAGATTTAATGAAATATTTCACATTTATTTCCGTCTTGCCAACATACTCAGCTTGTTTGGATTAATGTTGAAGCTTTTACTGCTCATAATAATTGAAAATAATTTTCCTTATCTTATAAACATGTGATTTTGGGTTAATCTATAATAAAAAACTTTATTTTATTATTATGTATATTTCACACACATAAATCCAAGTTTGCCAAAAGCAAACTTCTCTTCATTGTGCTAGAAAAGGAGATTCAACTGTATATAAAAGTGATTTCTAAGTCTAAAAATAGAAAAGCAATTAAAATAGTTAATATATGCTCCTCCTTTAACATTTTTAGCTTAAAAATGTTTGCATATATACATTTCCTGTAGTAAAAGTGCATTTAATAACTTTTGTTAATAACTAAAATTGGAAAAATGTATATATTTATATGTAATTTGATAATTATGTACCCTCTGCTCTGTTTTTATTTTATTTTATTTTTCTCATTTAATACATTCTTGCTAAGAAATGTAGAAGTGTAAAGTGATTTTGTTGTATAGGAAAACTGTACATGTTGGTTCTTGTTAATAAAAAACAAACAAACAAAAACACGTCATATCGCCCCAAACAAGCTTTTAATTACAAACTCAATAATGTTAGGGGCTCAAATAAATATTTAGGACAGTTAGATACTTGGTATTGATATGCAAATGTAAGTAAGCTATAACCTTTGTTATGTTAGGTTAAGCTTTTTTAAAAAGCATTCTTTTAAACAATGAACAGAAAGGTAGTTTTAAGTCAGAACATAGACACACTCTCAGAAATAAAGGTACACGAGCTGTCTCTGGGGTGTTACCTTTTCGTTATAAATTTGTACCTCAAAGATCCATATTATTACCTCATGGGTACATATTAGTACATACTAGGTACTAATATATACTTTTGGGGTACCAATATGGACCCTTGAAGTACAAATGTGTACCTTTTGAAAAGGTACCACCCCAGTGACAGCTCGTGTACCTTTATTTCTGAGTGCAGTATCACTTACGTCAACTCAAATATTTGGAGAAAAATAGTATAAATATATTATTTATAAATATGTTGTACTATGTATATTACTATTATTTTGTAAATAATAGGTTATTAAAGAATTAAGTAGAACAAAATCACATCTGCATCAAGAATGAGTTTTTATACTTTTTAAAATAAAGGGAGGATTCTTTGGAATAAGTTATATAGCTTTCTGATTACGTTCCTTCTTTTTACAAGCAGTGACCAAATTTGCATTACTCTGATATTGTATGGTATATGTGTTTAACTACCTGTTAACATCACCATCTAGTGGTTCTAAAAAAATAGTGCAGCAGAGATTAGTTTAGTCAAAAGTTCAGGATAGAGAAATACTTTTTCTTGCTTTTTTGTATAAAAGACTGGGACTGGTTATTACAACTATTTTTACTTCAGTGAATATTCCTTGGTGTATATTTATAATAACAACAATAATAATCATTTATAATTGTTGTTTTTAATCATTTTCTTTCTCTGCACACTCATCTGGTCAAGAGCGTAACATAATTAATATTTTAAATGTTCTAAAAAATCTCATGTCACATGAAAACATTCTAATGTGCTGGCTCTAAAATATTATTACCATTTCAGTTATTTCTCAATCAGTTTTGACTGGTAAAATACTATATATGCACATACTGTAGTGTGATTATAAGCATAGAATTCCTTCATCATACAGTGGCCTACACATCCATCAAATAAAATCATATTCACATAGGCTTCCAGACATGCATTTATATTTCTGAAAACACATCTATTGTGCTAGACTTAATGTCAAATATATGTGTTGTAATACCCAGTTGTGCAAAGAATGTATGAGCAATTCAAATCAAAAAGGGCTTTCAGGAGAGGTTTTATTTTGTACAAGCTTTAGGTCAAGTTATATAATTCACATGTTCTACAGAAATATAGTTCAGTACTATTATTATTGAAATAAATGTACATTCAGAACCTCTTGACTACGTACCAGAGACGTTATAAATGTATGTGCTTGTGTGTGTGCTCGTGTCAGTGTGTGTTTGTGCAGCATTTGGTGGTGTTTCTTCATGCAAAGCGAACAGCAGTATTTATATCTGTGCGGGGAGTATTGCTTAAGACTAAACTACAGCAGTAGTACAAACTAAAACAGGGTCAAGCTGTCAGTTTGTCTTTGGAATATAGACTGATCTATGGTTTTTACAATCATCACGACCTAAACCAAGCAAACGCACCCATTTAACCCACTGCGTGACCCTGATGATCATTACAGTAACGCACAAGCAACTACAGCTCTACGTGTCAGCTGGTGGTTTACTACAGCCTAACACATGCCTAGATTTACAAAACTAGCACAGTATGCCTGATGAGAATCAACGAATAAAGCGAATGACTGAGAACAAACGAGCTGCCTGCCCGGGCAGTCGCGAGAGACCTGACATCTGAATATTATTAGTACTCAATACCAAATATTGTAAACATAATACAGCATTAATTCGGCACATTGAAATATCAGTCACCATGGGCAGTCTATACACATGTACAGGCTAATCAGTACGGTTACATAGGATCAAGAAATAATGAATGGGAGAGAAAAAAATTCAAGTTATAACACAAGACCTCCATTGACATATATATATGCACATTGATGATGTTATTTTGTGTAACGTCACATATTATGTATAAGAACACCAGCCTGAAAGGCAAAACACTGCTTTGTAGTATTGACTGCTATTTAAATTGATCCAGGTTTGTAATACAGTAGATACTAATGTTGCACATCAGTGATAATAAAAGAACAAAATATATCATTCATTCACTTTCTTTTCAGCTTAGTCCCTTTATTAATCAGGGGTAGCCACAGCGGAATGAATTGCCAACTTAACCAGCACATGTTTTACGCAGCGGATGTCCTTCCAGCCACAACCCAAAACTAGGAAACACTCTTGCATTCACACTCACTAATGACAATTTAATTTATTCAATTCAGCTTTAGCGCTTGTCTTTGGACTGTGGGGGAAAACGGAGCACCCGGAGGGAACCCACGCGAATCCGGGGAGAATATGCAAACTCCACACTTAAATGCTAACTGACCCAGCCGAGGCTAGGACCAGTGACTTTCATGCTGTGAGGCGACAGCACTTCCTACTGCGCCACCAAGTAGCCTACTGTGTGATTATTTTTATTTATATTATTATTATTATTATTATTGTGGTTTTTAAAGTGCCAGTACCTGCTAATTTGCGATTTCTGATTCACCAAGCACCACGGTTTCAACTAAAAAATGTTTAACGTTCCACAGAAGAAAAAAGACCCTTAATCTTGGCCCGAGGTCAATTAAATGAGCAAATGCCCTGATGTCAAAACAACATTAAAAACATGTTTAAAAAATGCCAATTGATATGATGTCAATTGACTATCTAAATCAGGGGTTCCCAAACTCGCGACCCCCAATATCCTCAGAGATGGTTATAAATACAGAAACCTTGGTAGCAATGGCGTGCATACACACCAATAGACCCAAGTCTATTCTTTGTTTGATTTTTTTATGTATGTTAGTGCTGTGAATGGGCCAGAAAGTTTAACCTGGTGTTATAAAATCAATCTGCTGCATCTGATGCAATTGCTGTGTCTCCAATAAAATGTAATTACCTGAGAAGTCGCAATCCAATAGAACTAGTAACTATAAGCTACCGTAGTAACTATATAGTAACTATAAATGATAATTTCTTTCTCTTCAGTAGGTTATGGATAATATATTGTAATTCTTATGGTTTAATAAACATAAATAGATTTTTGGAAATCCCCAGGTGACCCCTCTTTATTGTCCCACTACCCCTCAGGGGGTCCCGACCCCCACTTCGAGAACCACTGATCTAAGTGACATCAAGTTGATTTCTAACACTAACAGTAATACATTTTTTATTTATTTTTTTTTTTTTGATGCCAATGTTGATGTCAATTTGATGACATTTTGACAGCAATGTGGTTTAGATACATAGTAGGGATACAAAGATCAGTGTAAATTTGTGATTGAAGTTTTCAAATAAAATCAGTTTTTATATTATAATATTTTTGTTTGTTATTTCGTTATTTTGGTGGTCAATAGTGCATCAATGTATGAATGTCATATGGATGTCAAGGTTCTGACATCAAATTAATTAGTATTTAAGATGTGTTTTTTTATGTCAATGTCAGTTTGATGTCGTTTTGACATTAAGGTGTCTGCTGGGATTATAAAAAAAAAGAATTATTTTGCTTAATGATATAAGAGAGCGTGTTCATATTCAGGGTTCACCTGCTGCATTTATGTTCTATTGACTATCAAATTAAAATTGATCTAAACTGATTATTGCGGTCTTATTACACTACAATTTTTTTTTTGGAGATTAATATATTGAGCATGCGCTGTATGTGAATTATATGTCCAAAAGTTGCAATCTGTTTACATTTAGTTGTTTTTCTTCTAGAAGTTTTCAAAAATTGACACGTCTGTAGTTTATGAATGTTTTGCCTTCCAGTCACATGAGTGAAAACTACAAATTGGGCCTTACAAACACACCAAATGCATCACTTAAGTAAAAATCAGTAATAAATAGAACCAACAAAATTAATATGATGATAATAAGAATGTACATATGAAGTAATCTGCTTCCCTCTTCAGATGAGATCACATTGAGCAGTAGACAAAAGGCTTTGGGAGTCTGTGCTGCAGCTCTTGGTGGACTCGTGATTGTCTGTGAGAAACATCAGCAGTTGAGCTGTTTACATTCAGGTTTATTTACGCCCCAATTATACGGGACAAAAAAACACAAATTATAAAAAAAATTAGCTGATGCTGAGAATTGATTATGTAAAAGATGAACCAGTAAAATATCTGCCACAGGGCTCATTTGCTTAAAAACATCAAACTTTGTTTATCTGTAACAGGAATAAGAATTAATGTACTTGGAGTGGGCAGTGGCAAAGTGTACGCTGTAAGAAAGATTATTTTAGAGTATTACATTTAAATCGCATACTTCTGTGCTTGGGAAGTGAGTTATGCAAAATATGTCAATTAATAACTTGTAAATTTTTTATCTGGTAGTTGTTAAAAAAATAATACATTTAAAATTCACTAATGTTACAAAAGTTTGGAGTCAGTACAATTAAAAAAAAATTTGATTAAAAAAAAAAAATATATATATATATATATATAAAGTGATAGTGGAAAATTTTCTCATGATGGGCAAGCTGAATTTTCAGATGCATTCAAGAATCACGATTCTCCAGAAATCATTTTAATATGCAAGTTTCAAGCTCAATTATCCATAGATTTTTTTGGATTAATGTTTTCCATTATTATTTATTGAACAGAAAGTTTAAATGAACAGTATCTATTTGCAATACATTTTTTTTGTAATGGTACATGTCTTTAGCATCACTTTTGATCATAATAATGCTTTTTTAAGAAAAAAAGTCTGACCCCAAACCTTTAAACAATAGTGTGGATTTATTGCAGGAGTGTCCAAACTCCATCCTGGACGGCCAGTGTCCTGCATAGTTTAGCTCCAACTTCCTTCAACACACTTGCCTTGAAATAGCTTGATTAGCTGATTCAGGTATGTTTAATTGGGGTTGGAACTAAAACATGCAGGACACCAGCCCTCCAGGACCGAGTTTAGACACTCGTGATTTATAGTCACAAATGACCTATAAATCATGCTTCTGTCTCTATAGGAAAAAAACAAGCAAAAAGCCATTATATAATACATTAGAATTGTTAAAAATGCAGAAACTAAAATGTGCTTTGATTTTCCAATATTTTGCTCTTAACTGTGGAATAAGATGACCTCCCTCAAAAACCCACCACAACACTCCAATCAATCACTCTGTCCTCTGGAGCCCAAATCAATCAATTCTACTTCAGACGACTCTTCAGGCCTCTCTAATATCACTCTTGTTTGGCACACAGAAATGAATTTAACTGCAAGAGGCAAACAAAAATAATAGCAATACAAAGCAAGGAACCACTTGTTAAACTTTGCACAGAAACCATCGGATTGATGATTTCAAATAAGACAAATACAGAGCTGCAAAATATATCAATGGACATATTTTGCATTGGATTGCAAAGTACAAAGAAGTAGCAATACAATATCAGATTTGTTGAAAATCTGTCATTTTGTTTGTTTGTGGTTCGATAAAATCAGCTTTAAATCCTGTAAATGTCTCATTTTGAGGGAGTTTGTGCTGGTTAGTCAAATTGACTATTATCTCATCTCATAAGGTGTTATTTTAAATTGTACATTTGTGGCAGATATAGTTCCTCTTAATATTAAAGTTATTTTTCAAAATCAATCAATATTTCATAACTCTGTTTCTGACCCCAAACTGTGCTTTTAAACTACATTTTAATTGTGCCTACCAGGATATTTCCGTGTGCTTTTCTCACCAAAATATGTATTGCCTCCACTCTTAAAACACTGCTGGTCTTTCTGTGAAGTTATATACACAATATTGCACCAAAAACATACCTTGCCATCAAATTTGGGGAGACAACAGGTGGGAGAATGCGATAGAATGTATATATGAATGATTTTCCACCATAATATAAAAACAAAAGGGATGACTCTCCACAACCAGTGACTCCAATTTCTTGAACTGCTTGTTTTTTTCCTCCATTCTCTCTTCAGAGTTGTGCTGAGAGAAGGAGGACGTGAGAAGCTGGTCTGGATGTATATGATGCTGATTTGGCTGCCAGCACGTTATTCCTGGATTTGTTTGGGTATCGTGTGTGTTGAGAGAGCAGCAGGAGTGAAAAGGGAAAGATGGATCCACACAATGCCTTTCTTTTCCTCTGAGCCAGCGTTACTCAAAGCGCTCATAGTTTCGAGTTTGTCTTACTCGTGGTATCATGTCAACCAATAGCCTGCAGGTGAAAGCAACAAAAAATATCAAACTTGGCCAATTTGGGTTTAAAATATGGACAAACTCATCCAATGAAACAGCATTTTGAGGAAAATAGAAACTGTATGTTCTCAATTTTTAAAGACAGTCAAAATAAATTCACTTACTTGACTCCATAAGCTTGAATGACGAGTCCAATCAGGATCCCGATGGTTCCGTCCAGGTACCAGACGTTGGGATAATGTCTGAACACCTCGGCACTGATGAGGATGGAAAAGCCCATGATGCCTCCAACCATAGAGTTAAAGCCTTCAGAAAAAAGAAAAAGAGGAAATACAGTGCTCAGCATATGGGTACACCCCAATATTCTGATCCATTTCTCAGTGAATATAAACAATGTATTTTGGTGCATTTAAACCAAACAGATTTATTAAACAGATATATTTATTAAAATATTTCAGTTGCATATTTAAAAATTGAAAGATAATACAATTAAATTCAAGCAAAATAATGCAAAAAAACTAAATTCACACAAAATTTTTCTTTCTTTTTTTTTTTTTTTGCTTCACTATATTTTTCCACGTTTTAAAATTTGTATTTAATATTTTTCTATAGCTTATAAATTTGAGTGTACTAGTTTTTGGAGCGTTATTGTAAGTTACTTTGTTAGATAAGCTCCAGATCTGATTTCAGTATTGACTAACTTAATGTATATGCCCAAATATAATATTGTACAGCTTCCTAAAAAAATATGAATTTAAAAGTAAATTTGTGAAGGGTGTACTTATGTATGCTGAGCACTATATAATAATGTTTTTAATGTTACTATGACCTGTATTACTGTGACTTGTATCTTTATGACTTATTTATTTGTTGTTTAGAAAATGCAGTTTGTAACAACTTTAAAAAAAAAAAAAAAAAAAATATTGGCACCAGTGGCATAGTGGTTAGTGTGATGACACATGGTGCTTATGGTGACCCGAGTTCAATTCCCGCCCTTTCCTTCCCCTTTTTTTTGCTGTCCTGTCAATAATCTCTACTGTCCTATCCTTTAAAGGTGAAAACCTTGAAAAAAAGAGTTATATGAAATAAAAAATACTAGTGCATAAACTATATCATAAAAGAAAAGAAGCTTATTGATTAACAAAATGAAATAAATACTGAAAAGTAGAAATACAAAAATGACAAAAAAACTTAAATAAAATGTAATAAAGACTAAATAATATGATAATAGGAATGCATTAAATTTTCAACATTTTTGGCTTAAAAAAGGCTATGCTGCACCCGTACTGCCCAGCAGTATTCCGGATGCGGACAGCACTAAACTGCACTACGATACGTATTCAATTCAATGGCTTGCATTGCCACAACACAGCTTGCTGCTGTACCAACAAAAGCTCAAGAGGATCAGAGAGCACCATTAGTTAGCTTGAACAAGCACTGCAGACAAAGATCAAATTAGCTCAATAGTCTGCTCTCTGAATATTCCACTCATGTACCCAAATTCTTATGTAAGCATGTCTCCCTCATGCTCATCGGATAAGTCCATTCAGATAACGTGCCAACAGGACAATTCTATGTAGTACACTTTTTCCTGCTGCTTGCAATAGCGTTATTGTGATGGCATGGCAAGGCAGCCAAAATGCAGCCTCTTGATTGGGATATTACTCCCCGTTTATGTGTAGTTCACTGGTGATCTGGGACTTTTAGCCAGGACAGATTACTGTGCATATTTTAGATTTATGACAATAATTCTTTTTTTTAAATGTAATGTTTTTTAAAGAAAAGTTTTGTTGAATTAAAAAGTGCACCAAACACTATATTTTCCTTGTTTTGACACATTAAAAATGTATGGCTAAGAAATACTTATTTGGTGTGGTCAGAGATAAATTTGGTAAATCCTTAATTTTGAGCCCTGAAAAGTCATGTGAAATAAAAACTGATCGCATTGTGACACAACCCATTTGCTCATTCACACTGAGCAAGCCAATACACAATACACACAAGAAGTTAAATGAATTAGAAGGCGTATGGACATAACACAACATCTAAATCAAGTAATTTTAGCATGTCAAAGTCAAATTTATGCATAAAAATATATTTTCCCAACAAGAAAAGTGTGGCTAGTGAAAATGGCGAGTGGCTAGTAATGTTTGAAATCTACTAGCCACAGTGGCTGGTGATCAAAAAAGTTAATGTCAAGCCCTGGGTGGGTCAATAGCCCAACGTTCAACCCCCAACCTGGAGGACCAGGACATACACACTATGAGCAATTCAGCTCACTCAATTCAGCTCTAGTGCATGGCTTTGGACTGTGGGGGAAACTGGAGCACCCAGAAGAAACCTACGCGAACATAGGGAGAACATGCAAAATTCACACAGAACGGACTCAGCCAGGGCTCGAACCAGCGACCTTCTTGCTGTGAGACGACAGCGCTCCCCACTGTCCCACTGTGCCACCCCTATTGAGTGAACTATCTTACAAAATTATGTTATAATTATTTCAATGCATTTTTTTGGTTTTCAGGAAACAGCAACCACAATTTCTGGTTTCAGTTTTGGCTCAGAATTTTCATTTAGGTGCATCCCTAAAACCTATTAATTATCTATACAATATGAATAAATGCTATACAGTAACTATATAAACTATTTATATAAAAGTCAGGTAGTATCATAGTATCATGATGATGTGAGCTAACAACCTGAGCGGAAGAAAAAACCCTAATATGATGCGCTCATTACCTGTGTGTGTGTGTGTGTGTGTGTGTGTGTGTGTGTGTGTGTGTGTGTGTGTGTGTGTGTGTGTGTGTGTGATTGTGTGTGAGTGCGTGTGTTTGTGTAATACCGTCAGTGATTAGGGCTCTGCTGGTCAAAATCCTTCCCAGCATGAACTTGGCAACAGCAAGAATGACACACATGAGGCCACTGACGATAGAAACGCTGAACAGAAAGTCATCCTGCAGGAGAGACAGACAGAAGAAATGATGCACTGAAAATACCAACGTGGAGACATTCAGTAATATAAATAGATCTTTCGAGTGTGCATCTGTAAGGTGACAGAGATGAAGTGCGGCTCATTTTAGGCACGAGTGAAAAGTAGCCAATTTAGTATTTATTAAGGAACCGAAAAAAGCCTGGCATGATTGAAGACTTTATTAGATTAGACTAAACTAGGTACCCTGAAAAGTCACAAAAATGGATTTATGCGGGCTTTAAATACATAGAAAAGCTTTCAAAGACTGTGAAACACGAACATGTTTATATCAAAATTAAGATATACATTATTTTAGAAATAAGATGGTTTAAATAAGTCATGAACTGAGAACCCAAAATTCCCTTGATTCTGTGGCATAAGTGCTCAAAGTAAAAAGCTAACACCTTGTAAGATTCAGAGCTCAAATTATGGTATACATTTTCTGATTAATTATTTAAATAAAGCTCTCAGTGTTGGGTAGCGGCTAAAAGGGCATTCGCTGCTTAAAACATATGCTGGATAAGTTGGCGGTTCATTCCGCTGTGGCAACCCCAGATTAATAAAGGAAATAAGCCAAAACAAAATGAGTGAATGAATTTAAATAAAAAAACTGATTTGACTAAAAGATTTAACAGTTTAATCACATAGACTTTGCTTGTTTCATTACTTGAATGAATAAGCATTTAAGAGCAAAACTCTTAAGTAAAGGATTCAATGACAAATTTTTGTAGCTACATTATGTGACAATACAAGAACTAAAGGCTGAAGCTGTTTCATAAGCATACATGTCAACTGCTCTATCTAGGTCAACGCAGATCTGAATGATGACTGTGATCTGACTTCTCAAAGGCGTTCCAGACACAGTCAAATCATTGTCAAAGAAAACATGGTTTTTTAATCAAAATTGTGATCTTTTGCAGCTCTAACTTACATAGTCATTGCAATTGCTAACAGAATTAATATAATTTAACAATAAAAGACATGACAAGAAGAAAAAACAAATACAAATGAACACTGACGATCTCTGAACCCTTTAAAGCATCAAGAATAATAGATTAAATGTAAGTGTTGTAAACAGTTGAAATGAAAAAAATGACATTCAACAGTCTTCAGGATCAGTTTCAGGTGAATCACAGATGAACTACAGACATTTTTGTCTCTCCTGCCTTCCTCCTTTCTCTCCAAACCAAGAGCGTCTGCTTTCCACCCACACAGTAGATCCAGAAGGCATTTCTCCAGCATTTCCAATAACGTAGAGCTTCATCTCTGAGTAACAGCTAAGATACGATGACTGTGTTTAAATTTACACTTTCATCAACTGACTAGTTAAGACTGGCAGTCTGGATGAACTGGACCACAATGTTTTCTGTGAGGAGTATGAGAATATGGACAGGCAAGGTTTAATGAATGTGAGAAAGGAGACTCAGGGCAACAAAATGAAAAAAGAAAAGAGCAGCACATTAAAGAAGGTGAAAACCCATTCCCGGTGTAGCAGGAGAGGCCTGACAGAGGAAATGGCTTTCAACCAGCACAAATCCATCACTAAAGCTCCAGCACTGATCCTTCATTAGCACTTATGAGGCAAAACAAGGCTTGAATTGCAAAATAAATTAAACAGATTGCATCTGGGATGACAGTTAATCTTACAACAGATCAGCTTGTCAGGGAAGACTTCACATTGTCTAGTGACTTCATATCATGTAATCAATTATATAAATATATAAAACACACACACACACACACAATTGAAAAGAGGAGTTTAAAAAAGCATGTAAAAAAATTTAGAAAACTGTCTATATGCTTACTGTACAGCTTAATAATAAGTCAGCATAGAAAACAAATGGCACTTATCATTATAATTATTATAATTATTATTTATATACAATTTTAAGTATTTATTCATATTTTAAATTAGATTCACTATATTGAATATGACTATAAACTTTAATAATTATGTTGTAGAATTTTTGTGCATGTGTTTAGCTTTAATTTAGTGCAAGTGATATTGATAGTTCAATTTAAACTTACTTTATTTCAGTTTTTGCTTTTATTGTAATGTTAATATTTCATTTAACTTCAGCTTTATTTTCATTCATCTCAATTTAATTTGTTTATAAAATGTTAATATAGTTTTAAATAACAATAGTTATTTATAGTGTATAAAAAATACCAGTGCTTGGTGTAAGTCGTTTATTCCACTCCAGGTTTTATTTAATAATTTGTCAGGATTTTAATCCTTTGCTCAAATTTTCAACAAAAAGAACGTTCGAGGTTACAGAAGTAACCCTTCGTTCCCCGAGGAGGGGAACGGAAGTGCTATATAGTGGATTTTGTCTTGGGAAAATCCACGTATGGGAAGATTCAGATCAGAAGCCGCTTGTCTGAAGAGTATTGAATGGGCCAATGAATTAAATAAATTGGCAGCGTAAGCTTGCGCAGGTGTGCTGCATTGCCAATTATCCCAGCATATAAGCACACCTGGAGCGAGCAAACGCCATCCTTTTAAGCTGAAGAGACTTTTTAAACAGCTAAGGGACAGTCATTATTGCAACGGAGTACAGCACTTCCGTTTCCCTCCTCGGGGAACGAAGGGTTACTTCTGTAACCTCGAACGATCTTGGGAAAATCCACGTATGGGAGAACTATGGAAAACGCCATAATGACTGCACCTTACCAACGCCCCCGATAACGGGATAGTCAAGCAAGCGTGACGCACCCACATCATGGGAGGCGCGGTCCTCCAACGTGTCCCTGGCCCTAATTTATCCTACTTCAACAGAAGTCTTACGGATTTAGATATATATTTTTGGGAAGTCGTGAGCATCTAGATAATTCTAGGAAATACGACAGTACAATGGGAAGCGTGCAATCCCGATAGGGAAGATGCTGCGGAGGCCATCCGTTACCCAAGGGGGGGATAGATGGCAGAATTTACATATGGACTAGCCCTAAAAAGGGGGAGTAAGCATAGCAAAAAGTGGTTAGCGGAGAGGGAAGACACGGGTCCACCCAGGGGGGGGACTTAACCGTGGCGGAATAAGCATATTGGATCGCCTAGTGGGGATCACGCATAGCAGGCACCTATACCCAAAACGCAGGCTGACCAGTGGGCAGACCTACAACGTAGTGGGCCAGCAAGTGACTCCTTCGCTGAGTCAGTGCTGGGGGCCACGGAGGAATTTGCAGGGCTCACCTGACGGGGAACTTTACTGACAGATAAAAGGCGCACGTATCTCCGTGTTAGGGAAAATAGCGCAGCAAGCGTGTCTCAACACCCTACCGAGTTGTTTCCTCAATCACCAAAGGGTTACCTAATACCCTTGAGGAAACCGGCACCACTCGCAGATTGTAAAACCTTGCAAATGTGTTGGGTGTCGCCCAGCCCGCAGCCCTACAGATGTCTGTTAGAGAGGCGCCGCGTGCACGCGCCCAAGAGGATGCAACGCTCCGAGTGGAGTGTGCAAGCACTCCCGGGGGACACGGCTGACCTCGACTGGAATAAGCGAGTGAAATGGCATCCACAATCCAGTGGTATAATCTTTGTTTCGATACGGCACTTCCCTGCTGCCGACCGCCATAACAGACAAAGAACTGCTCAGATGATCTAAAATTCTGAGTACGGTCCACATAAATGCGCAGAGCGTGAACTGGACAAAGTGAAGAAAGGGCTGGGTCTGCCTCCTCCGGGGGAAACGCTTGCAGGTTCACTACCTGATCTCTGAAGGGGGTGGTAGGAACCTTGGGCACGTAACCCGGGCGGGGTCTCAGGATGACGTGAGAGTAATCCGGCCTGAATTCCAGGCACGAGTCACTGACCGAAAATGCCTCCAGGTCCCTGACCCTCCAACGCGACCAGCAGAGCTGTCTTCAGGGACAGAAATCTTAGAGATACTGAATCGAGTGGCTCAAAGGGATCTGCTCGCAAACTCGTGAGAACGAGGGCGAGATCCCAAGAGGGCATAAGAGGGGGGCGAGATGGATTAATTCGCCTAGCACCCATAAGGAACCGGATGATAAGGTTATGCTTTCCCACGGTGCCGCCAGCTACCGCGTTATGATAAGTGGAGATGGCGGCCACGTAAACCTTGAGAGTGGAGGGCGACAGCCTGCTGTCCAACTTCTCTTGAAGGAAAGAGAGCAAAACACTGATCTGGCAGTTTCGGGGGTCTTCTCTGTGAGAGACGCACCATTCAGTGAACAGACTCCACTTCAGGACGAAGGCCCGCCTCGTGGATGGGGCTCTAGCCTGAGTGATGGTATTAACCATCGCAGTCGGTAGGTTACCTAAGTCTTTCTTGCGTCTAAGGACCACACGTGGAGGTTCCAAAGATCGGGGCGAGGGTGCCAGATGGTGCCCTGTCCCTGAGAGAGTAGGTCCTCTCTCAAAGGGATCCGCCAGGGGAGGGCCGTCGCGAGGAGTGAGAGCTCTGATATCCAGGTCCGGTTGGGCCAAAGGGGCGCAACTAGCAGAACCTGTTCCTCGTCCTCCCTGACCTTGCACAGAAACTGCGCGAGCAGGCTCACTGGGGAAAACGCATACTTGCGCATGCCCCGAGGCCAGCTGTGGGCCAGTGCATCCGTGCCGAGAGAGCCCTCGGTCAGGGAAAAAAACAACTGGCAATGAGCATTCTCGGGGGAAGCAAACAGATCGATCTGGGCCTCCCCGAATCGCGCCCATATCAGCTGAACAGACTCAGGGTGGAGTCTCCATTCTCCAGGGCGTAACTGCTGTCGTGAGAGCGCATCGGCTGCACGATTGAGCGTGCCTGGAACATGAATGGCGCGCAGCGATTTCAGCCGCGGGTGACTCCAGAGGAGCAGACGGCGGGCGAGCTGAGACATGCGGCGAGAGCGCATACCCCCATGCGGTTGATATAGGCTGCCGCCGCCGCACTGTCCGTCCTGACCAGCACGTGATGCCGCTCCAGCACCGGTAAAAAGCGGTGGAGAGCGAGGAACACTCCCAACAGCTCTAGGCGATTG